TGCTGCGGCAACTGCTGCTGCAACTGCTGCTGCAACTGCTGCTGCAACTGCTGCTGCAACTGCAGCAGCAGCATCCGCATCCGCATCATCATCATCATCATCATCATCACCATCATCACCATCACCATCATCATCACCATCATCATCATCATCATCATCAACTATGACAAAATTACTTCTGAAATTCCGCCATCATTATTTTGACTACAATCTCTCCTGCTGTTTTTTCCACTCCCATTACCACCACCATGACTTTAATAGTACTGTCACCAATCATGAAAGCCGAAGGCCGAATGCTCGCACTTTGGCCTCCACACGGCTTCTGGAATGGCTGCCTGGAAAAGACAAAGGAATAGTTTGAGCTTTAGGGTTTCAGGTGCGTGGGTTTCTCAAAAGCATGGGTGGTGTTTTGGAGTGGACTTACAGCTTAGAGCTTGCTTGATGGAATGCTGATGACGGTCCTTTCTGGTGGGGCTAAAGTGTCGTATAGTAGGCCCCGCTGGGTCGCACATCAGGCTTGACAGTTTCACTTGTCGTCCTTGCATAGTCCACTACGGCAGCAACCCGGGGCTGCTGAAGGTGGTTCAGGCTTTTGGCTTTAGCGTTCTGTCGGGTTCTGGGTCTCAGGTTTTGGGGTTTCGCATCATGCTGTGTCTGTTTGGAAGGCCTGGGTCCACTTCAGAAACACACACGAGGCTGAAATGGCCTGCCATCTGCCCAGGGCACCCTTTGACCCCTCCAAATGGCGCACGTGTGTGCCAGGCATTCCCGTACGGATCTGGAGCTGGCTTCAGTTGTTCCAAAGGCTTCCAATAGCTTCAACGCAAGTACTGTGTACTCCGCAGGTGGAGACTCATCCCCAAACCCCAAGCCTTTGAAGTTGCTATGCCACTATGCACAAAGCGAAGGCTGGAGAATGCAGCAGCATCCCCGGAACCCGTCGAGCTCTCTAGTCACTGGGTTGAAATAGCCTAGGGTGCCGGGCTTATGGTTTACGGTTTGGGGTTTAAACACAGAAACGTTTAGGCTTCAGGGCCCCCAAAATTGAACACCGAAGTGCTAGGTTGGCAGATGAACCAGCTTCCCTTGGTACTTTCCAAGTGCTCCACTAAGACCTCTGTAGTTCACAAAATTCACCGAACAGTTGCCTCTTAAGTCGGGATGTTACGGTTCCCGGCAGCAGCACAGGTAAGATGGTGACCTGTGTTTGGTTGTAGAATTTGAAAGAGGAGTGTGCGGGTTTACATAACTTCGGACTCTGTTGCATCAGGGAACGGCCGGAGGTGCTTAAGCACCGGTTGCTGCGCACCACCCCACTCTGCGCTTTCGAGCAAAGAACCCTGAGCCTTGAATAAATGGGGGGCCTCAATGTAGATCCCATGTACAATACTCAAAAAGGCACCATTTTTTGGGAAGCCCTAAGCTATACAGCCTTCGATATCCCGTGATAGTCCCTATTTGGCCCGTTGAAAGGACTTCTAATGTTTGGAGACCCACTAAACTGTTCCTTCCTGTTCAACCTCAAATGGCTTTCTCTCTTTAGGGTCCCAGGCTTCAGAGGTGAGGTTTCAGGATATCAGTAGGATTTAGGGCTTAGGGTGCGGGGGTAAAAATCAGGCGTTGAGGGCTAGGCTTCTGTGTGCAGAAGCTCTGATTATTGCAAGATGACATTTGTGTACGTTCATGCGCAACGATGCCAGGCAGGAATATACAGGATGAGGGACAAATCCCTAAACCCTAAACCTTAGGCCCTAACCCCTGGGGAAATAGTCCGCCAGCTTAAGGTGATGGTTCTCAGGACAAGCCGGACCCGTACAATCTCCCCGATATTCACATTGAAAAATTGCATTGGGCACCCAGCTGTTGAGAAACCAAGCATATCTTCCCATTTTCGCGCCTCGCTTCTGCTTCTGACAAAGCTCACCCTAAACCGTAAAGGTGTACTCCATGATCCCACTACACGGGCTGTTGCTGCTCTACTTACCCTTCCGAAATTGAGATGGAACTGCACAACTGTCCCACGGATTACTGTCCTTTTGAAAGAGGGTTATGTGAGGTTCCAGTTAGTTGGTGTGCGGCTATTTGTCCTCTTCTCAAACCTGGTCATGATAGAGCCTCTTCCTTGATTTCGTGTGTCCAAACATCATGATGAGGGTCTGGGGCTTCGTCAGACACCCTGAATGTGTTTGGGTAGCTTTGATCTCTCCTGCTGCTTTTTCTGCTTTCGTGAGTCTCCTATCACCCCGAGACCTCCGAAGAGGGAAAGGCAGCGTAAAACATTTCATGTCCATCTAAACCCTGGACTAAACTATACTGAGCCAGCAAGGGGTCCATACAGAAGATCGGCCCAGAATAGTTAATTTCAGACTTAGCTTTGAGTTGTTTTTTGTCAGAATTTTTCATGGTGTGTAACCCACTCTTTGAGGCTTGCCGGGTCTGCTACACCCGGCAGATGCTTGCCTAGGTGGCGTGGCCTAGGGATCCAGGGGTTGAGGTCACTTTAGGGTTTAAGGTTTGGGGCTTAGGGTGTGGGTTTTTGGCTGTGGAGTTTTGAGGTGTAGGCTTTAGGGTGTGGGGTGGAGGTGCAGGCAGGAAGGTTTAATCTGTGAGATAGAGGGTTCAGGTTTTAGGCATTGGGGTATTAGGTGGGCTTTAGGGTGTAGAGTGCGGCTTGGTGTTTAGTTTTTAGGGCTTAAGGCTTAGGCCTTGGAATGTGTTTCTTGTATTTAGTGTTTAGGCCGGCTTAGGCTAAGGACTCTTGTATCTAAGGGCCGCAAGCATGTGAGGACTCAGAAAATTGTAGGGTGATATGTTCGAGAACAGTGCACAGAGTTGAGTTTCGAAACGAGGCTTCTCAGTTTGCAGAACTCATAGTTGGGAAAGGAGGGAAGCAGTCTGGATATTTCCCAACGCAGCGGTCCCCTTTCTGTAACATACTCTTATCCTATTCAGAACTAACAAACACACAAGGTCCAAATTTTTGGAACACCATGGTCGGCGTTTAGGTCTTTGGGGTTCTGGTGCCGTCCTTGCAGCCCGTTTACGAAAACAGTGGGCTTTGCAAGAAGGAGGTCTTTAGCGACCCCATGGACAGATAGGTTAGGGGTTGTTCTTGAGATTCAGGTTCCCACAAACCCCTCATCAAATTTGCCTGATGCTGAATGGGGGGTCCAGTTGTTAGTAGTGGGTTAGTCTTGTCAGCGCAGTTGATAGTTCTGAACATTGAACCTACAACGACTTCTCACCCCATACTTTAGTTCCCATGTGTCCTAAGCCCTAAAATCTAAAGCCCTAAACCCCGCCCTGCTAAACCTGAGTAGCGCCTTGTCAGGCAGTGTGCAGGAAAGTGCAAAGTTTGGCGTCGAGCCGGAAATGCTGTTCACGCTCAAGATCCTCGGGCCCATTAGGTAAAGGGTAGCAGATTGGGTTAAGTTGGGATTTTCACCCATGGGCATTTGCACAACTGGAATGTGCTATTGGAGTTCCAGCAAGTACCATTACTTACTACTGGGTCTTCGTAGGGAATAAAGGGATACAATACCTATGTAATCCCTAGATACTATATTCCCATATTCTCTACTAAGTCCAGTGAGATAGTGCAGCAATCACCATTATGCATGTTGCCTCACATTTTTTTTGGGGCGAGGCCTGCGGGTGCTGTATGACTTTCGAGGATTCTTGGGCCATTTGGGCCGCTTCATCCTTCGGAGTTTCGGCATGGAAGCCCCCAAATCCTAAACCCTGAACCCTAGGGAAGCCCTAAACCATGGTCTCTCCTGATCTATGTCACTTAGTTCTGTTTCTGATACCGCCTTCACAAACGCATGCTTTGTCCTTGAAGGGCGTCTACTGAAATGTCCCTTCATGTGTGTTTCTCACGGCAGGGCACCCTTCGGGGACCCTAAGATATGTGGGGACGACACAGTGATCGTGTGGACTGGATGGATGGTTTCTACTTAAGAAGCTGCCACTTCTTGCTGGTGCCTGGCACATGAACCGAAATCAAGTTGAAATCACATTCTGTGCTACAGAGCACTCAGTCGGCCTTTTCTGTAGGTATTGGAAGTCCCACAGCCCCTTGAAGCCGTACATATGTCACAGCATTGCCGTAGAAGCCACAAGAATTCCTATCTCATGACCCGGAAAGGCTCGCTCCTTGTATATGTTCCCCAGAACCACTCTCCCAACGCTCAAGCTCTTAAGCAAAAGCCATAAGTTCTAGACCTTGAACACCAGACCCGCAAACAGGCTCCCGGAGGGCTGGGAGCAGCGTGTAATCTGGGCCAAGGACTCCTATAGCGTTTCGGGTTTGGGGTTTGGGGTTGAGGGTTGCTGTGATGTTTCGCAAAGGCAGTGTTTGTTACGCAGGGCGTGCATGGTGGCTTGCGAGGTGCAGTTCTTGCCTGTAATGCGAGCAGTCATTATCATCTCTGTCCCTACCGCATCTAAGGCGGGGCGACAGTTAAAATTAGCGTTAGAGCCCTCCGTCTTAAACCCTAAGTTACACTCTTAAAAGAACTCATCCAGGGGTGGGCACCTGAAAGAGGGGTGCTACCAGCCAGCCAAGGGAACAGGTTCAGCCTGCGAGAACCTCACACGGTTTGTTTGGATTTAATAACTTGGCGTTTAATCAGGGAGATTTTTTTGCAGCCAAAAGGGCATCTCTGTGGTTTCGAGAAGATTGGCCTATAAAGCCAAATCTGCCCATGAAGTGGAGTGTCCCAGATCCTGAATAGGTTTTGGTGTTTAGGGTTGGGTAGGCTTTGAAGCAATCTTCGGCCCAAACCTTCGACCTTGAATTCGGCCAAACCTTAAGCTGCCAGAAGCTCATAATGCAAGGGCCAGAATGGTTAAACCTGGCTTTAGGGCCAAGCTAAATGAACATCAGAACCACAGGAAAGTTTTCGGTAATTCGACGGCTTCTACGGCACTTAAGTCAGGCATCCTTGATATTTTTGGAGCTTGGGTTTCCTGATATACTGTACCTATGAAAAGGATCCGTTTTCTTCCGGGGGTGTCATGGGCTAAAACTGGTCCCAAGCATGGACCCATCCTTTTTCTGGATCCTGGCCGTAGTTGGGCCGTGGAGTTCTGCAGCCTTATTGAGGGTTTTGGGGCCTAGGGTTTAGAGTACAGTTTTCACTGTAAGTTGCCAACAGGTTTTGAGGCCTTAGGGCTCCGGGTCTGAGAGCCGGGTTTGGGTTTGTCCCTATACTTGGGCAGGAATATGCTCTTCCAACCCCGCCTGTCAGGACCCCGGTTACCTCCGCTTCGTGGTTCTCCGAAGCGAGGCCTAGAGAAGTTCAGGTTACTTGCTGATGCTCTTGGGGGAATTTTGAGCATGGACACCCCTAAGAATCCCCAATGCCAAAGAACCTCTTCATGTTGCCTTCCTCCCTGCCCTTTAAGCAGCAGGGAGGTTAGGGCTCTGTGGTTTGGGGCTTCGGACGCATTCTGGAGTTTAGGAGAGCTTTGCAGTTGAGCTGACCACTTGCCTTGAGTATCTAAGAACTAGGTGGTAGATACAGATAGGTTGAGCCCAACGTGCTCATAGGAATCCATTGCAAGACTAACAGGGCGCATTGTGATGACCTTGTCTAGAGTGGCATGCGTAAGCTAAAGCGCGTGGGGGCTCTGGGGCACCCGGGCTCCTGCCGAATTATTCCCTAATCCCAAAGCCGAGGCAGCCCAAATTGTTTTGAAGCCCAGATCCTAGCCCCCCACTCAAACCCAGTCACCTCCGAGAATCTAAAATGCAAAAGGCGGTGTGAGGAATCCTTCGGAAAACATGAAAATCTCGTTTCTGATTGCTTTTCCAAGGAGACTATCCATAAAACACAAAATCGAGAAGCAGGACCTCCACAACAATCAGGACCTCAAGATGTGGCCTCCGGTTTGAGACACTTGCAAGGCGTATCGCTCTGGTAAGAAGCAGAAACCCTATAAGCCCGAAAAGCCAAACGACTCAAACCCTAGGTGAGAATCACCACATAACCCGGCACCTTTATGTCTAAACCCAAGCCCTCAGCCTAAAACCCAGAGCTGGTACTGGCTGATATTGAGTTGGAAAATCTTTGGCTAGGCGGCAAAAGGCTCATGGTTGTCGGCTGCCACGGGCGCCCCGCGCGAGGCGTCGGGGTGATGGACGCAGTTAGGGAGAAGGGGATGTAAGCAATTTGTGCACTTTGAAGAGTATATGGAGGACTGTCACAACTCTGGCCCCTATTTGGGGTCCCTGTCACAATACAACCCTCATTATTTCGGCAAGAAGGGATTCACAATTTTGACAACCCTCTAAGGGGATCATTGCACCTAGGGAATACAAGGGACCATTGAGGAAACTTCCATATAAGTTTTGCGAGTAATCAAGAATGACTTGCCAGCGAGCACAACAGCAGTAACAGATGGTCAAAGTTGTAAAGGATATGTTCTCTCTTGCCATCCGTATGTATATGCCAGTATCTGCGTGGTGGATGTCCTGAGCAAATCGTTTTCGTAGAATATGCGTTGATTCCCCTCAAGTGCAGGGCTGTTGGGTGCGGGGCTGGATTGTGCGCTCATCTGCAAAGATTTACCTTAAATCCTGAACCCTCAACAGGGCTCAGACACGGTCGCATGGGTTTTGGAGTGATTAAACTAGCCAGTATAAAGATACCATACAAATTCGCATGCAGGGTCGGGTTCCTTGGGCCGGAAATGTCTCTCCGGATCCGGGACGAAATCTTTGCAGAGCTTGTTCTCAAGCCTTTCATGGGGGCACAGGTGACTCCACGCCACAAGCTTGGTATGTTGTTCTAGTCAAGCCCGGATGCCGGCCTCGTCCCCGAACAGTCACCAAGAAAACTGTTATTGGGTTCATGGCGGTGCCCAAGACATTGTTCATTTGAGGAGTTTCATTGCACACGACGTCGGCGAAGTCTGCAGACCCTGAACCTTAGACCTACACGCCAAAGTCTAAGCACATGAGCTACATCCTATTATCATATTATCCGAACAGTGTGAACCCTACCCGTTCCGAAAACTGGCATGAAAACCCTATGGGCCCGCAAACAAGCGCACAATGACAGCAATGTGCATGCAGGCCCTTTCAGGTTCCACGGTTGTTGTGGGAGGCTAAGTGCTGAACCGATAAACTTCATAATGCTATAATCAAGTATTGGGCAGATGTCCAGGCACCTTGAATAGGACAGACCCCTGGGTTGCCACATGTATTATCCTTAGGGGTTCTTCCTCATTGGGGCTCATCGCCCCTACCCTAAGTCCTGAGCTCTCCCAAGCCCTGCAAGTCCTGAAGCTGAAGCCCCAGACCTGAAACCCTACATCCTGAACCCCAAGACCCCCAAACCTCGAACTAGACCTGAAACATCAAACCCTACGCCCTGAACCTAAAAGCTTAAGCTGAAGTCTAGACCCTCAAGCTTTTTAGAATTACTGCTTTTGCGTAACTGCCTCCAGGGTTTGGGATGAGCCTCAAACCTTAAACCGTAAGCCCTACACCGCGAACCCCAAAAAGCCCCAGGTCTAAAACCCTAGCGCAACCCTGAACGCTAAGCCATTGAAACCCTGCACTGTGCGCTTGTGCAAACTAGAACGGGCTCGCCTCTTCTGGTGATTTATATGTAACGTAGGTCCTATCCGGGGGCTCTGAGCATGTCCCATAGTCGTTGCCTGGGTCCTAAGTTTGGTTAGTCTTATTGGCTTCATAAAGGGTATATTCTTGCAGCACCAGAACGGGGGTCCATGCCTGTTTCAGGAGCTTCCGGAAGATCTCTCTGCCTTCAAGAACCAGCCTGAGGATACCCCGAGTTTCCCCGGTGGGTAGGGGGCTTGAGGGTTGCGACTTTTCAGTTGACTTCCAAGTGGGTATCTATGTACAATATACTTGCAAATAGGGTACTGACTGAACGATTTCTGCGGTGGGCCGAATGCTTAGTAGGGGAAAAACCCAGTTTACAACCGTGTAATGGTAATGTCTGATAGTCTTTTATGATTACTATTTCGCAGAACACTCGTGTTTCGCAATCTGCCTACCCAGGAGGCTTTTGCGCTTGAGTTGTAACTTGTGGTTTACAGGGCAACTAATGTATGCCGTCTTAAAATTTTTGCTTCGCTTCAGTTTTAGAAATATTTCCTAACAAGTGAAGGAATCCTGCTTTTCTTTGGTAAGCGTCCGCAACATGACCTTAACAATCGCTATGATAGTTGGGATAACTGTATTGATCACGAGTCCAAACATGCCTGTGAGGCTGTGAGGACAACATCTAGTTTCTGGGGAGCATGTTGCCATGGGGATTGTTTAGAAGTTCCTTTATTTCTCCTACATTGTAAGGAACTCTCGTGTATCTTATTAAGGGTGAGAGGGACTTTTTTTGACCATGTAAGTTCCCCTTACTCGTTCAGAATTGGGAGGAATGTCTTGCACCGGTATGACGTGTTAGAGGCACCGCCGTTTCGAGAGTCTCGGGGGCCCTTCCTCTTTTGACTTACTGAGCCCTCTTACTTGAACAGAACGAATCAGGGGAGGTTTCTTTTTTCTAGTACCCGCATCTCTCATCAAGGCCTCCAAAAGCCGTGGCTTTGATGATTAGTTGGAGGAGCAGCTCAGAGTCAAAACAAGGTAACGATGCATAAGGTGCATGAGGGAATACTGTAAATAACCAGGCTCTTCTAATTGCATTTTCCTAGACGCTTGAACGTTGAAAGGGTCAGTTCGATGTCTGGACTGCTAGGGAAATTTTGTGCAAACGCCCACGCCCAACGTGAACGGCCATATTCTCGGGATTCCTGAACATGTTTTGCTACGTTTGCTTATTGCACACCAAAGAACAGCCAAAGTTACTTTTTGGAAAGGTTCCAGGGCAGTGTGTTTGGCAACATCTTCTGCTATTAAGGGGGTGGGTGCTTAGTAGGGAATGGGCGGAATGGGGGAACAGGTTCTAGGACTGAAGTTTGTGGGTTTTGTGGGAACTACTACAGGGATCCGTGCCCTCCTTCCCTACTGAGAACCCTGAGGTGTCGACTCCTATTATGCTCTGCCTGGATACTGAACGTCTTTTATCGTTTTGGGTTCTGTCACGGTACATCCAGGGTCCACCTCGGAAAGTGCTGCTGGGCCTGCTTTCCGTGCCAAACTGCTGAGCTCCGTGAAGCTCCTGAACGGTAGCATCAAGTACCCCAAGGGCCAAGGCCCTGCACTGAAGCTGCAGCCTCCAACCAAGCCCTGAGCCACCTGAGACTCTGCCTGGGCATTTCTGCCCAGAGTTTTCAATTTCGTTAATTTCTTCGGAAACTTCATCAAGGAGGTTTCGGCTTGATGAGTTCGTGGCTCTTGCCCTAGAGCCCAGGTTAGACGTAGAGTTACAAGCACCCTCTTCTCGTCTGAAATCGTTACATCCGATGTTTCATCCTGTCTAGTTTAGCAGCCCTGAACCTTTCATTAGACGTGCAGCGTTTGCAGCTAAAACTCTCGAAGCCCGAAGCAGCATGACTTGCGTGACTAGAGCTTCAACCTCGCAATGCACAGCCCCAGACGCCAAACTTTGAAGCCCTTGGACCTAAAGCCCTGGATCCCAATGTCGAAGGACATCGAATTCAGCTTCAACCCTGTCAAGGCCTGCAACGATGTGATGAAGGCAGGGAGCTGATTTAAGAATCTCCTCCTCTAATATTGAGCCCTCAACTCCCGCTGATAATCGCGACTCTATTTTTTTTTTGAG